GAACAGCATGCGACGATCGTTCTTTGAAGTTTAGTAAGCAAATTTCCCACGCTATTAATTGACAGTCTACTCAACCACACCACAAATCCATAGCTCAGAGGTTTAACTCGAGAGAATTCCTCGCACAATTAGAACCCACGTCTGACAAGAGGTATATGTATTTATTTTTTCAGAATGCTTTTAAGGTTTTGGAGGTCTTTTCTTCAATGGGAGACTTCTATAAAAGTCCATCTAGGATTACACCTAAATACTATTCACATCGGAAGAAATCTAAATAGTGACACCTTTAAGGTTGGGAAAACAAGGCCGTCCAAACGTCCCCTTCTATTGAAGAGTATAATGCTCGTTGGATTAACGATCGACGATCAAGGGTCAGCTCATTCTCACTTAACTAAGTCTAAAAGCGCTAGCAGTCAACGACGTAGCGTAACCGAACGTTAACGGACGTAGCAACATAGCAAATTTACTGTTGATAGAGAGAGATAGAAGCAACGACAACGGCACCATAATGCAGAGATGAGGTTTCGTTAACACGCGAATCCCATAAGGTACATCGTGTTAGCGCCAGCATACGTTAAACGCTACGTCGTCGTAGACTGCTAGCGCCTTAAATCGTATGCAGGTCTCTTGGCCACATTCCTGCAAGCAATTTAAGGAGAAGAACCTGTAATGAGACTGGTCACAACGTAGGCCTTGGCGTAGATATAAGCATGAGAGAAAGCACACCACTCTATAAAAACAGCCCTAATTCGAGATGTTTGCGGTACTTCCGCAACGTAGGAGTTATTTGCGGCAGAAATGGATGTGCCTATCTTTGTGAGTTCGCCTGATTCACAGTTTCCTGGTATGTCTCTGTGACGCGATACCTCGCATTAGCCATATTGACCGCCTTCTACCTTTGTCCCAATAAAATCGATGTACTTTCTAATTAATAAATGCTGATAAAATCTAAAATCTTAGCGCAAAACTGCATGTTCTTAGCACTTAAAAAAACTGTGCGCTATATCTGCTTTGGCTTTATGAACCGCTGCTTGTGTTGAGGTATAGGAAAATTTTTAAATCGCTTTTAATTCTGAATTAATCAACACAGCACCAGCAAGTCAATGCGATGTTGTCGCTGCTTTTGGACTTTGTGTTAATTATTTTGCTTTCTTAAAGCTTATGCGTGTTTATTTTCATATGCAAATGTATGTATGTATGTATGCATGTACAGTGTAATTTTGCGAATCGCACGAACATGCAGTTTTCTCTCAAGAAATTAATTATATTGTCAGGTTGACACTTAACAACGATAATTGTGTGATAAGATGACACATTCTTATATTGAGGCAGATAAATTCTGATGATCACGTACACAAAAACAAATAGATATGCACAACTGCTGGGAGTTCTATCCGGATTTTTTGATTATCCCAAAAACCCGAATACCTGTTTAAAAAATCCGAATACCTCAACCGAAACCGAAAAACAAACTGGGAGCTAACTATTCCGCCTCTGTATAGCGCGGTAAGTGAATAGTTCTACGGCATCAATTACAACCATCCAAACTAGCTTTTGAAGAGGGGCTGCCCACTGAGAACCAAGAAGTCTTCAAGGATGCCCCTCAGGAAATTATAAAAAAAGCCAGGAAACTCTTCAATAGGGCAACGACAAAAGGGAATTGGACTGCATACAAGTCAGCCCTAACCGCTATCAACTGTGAGATCAGAAGATGCAAAAGGGCTGCTTGGCGTGAACACTGTGGAAGCATTTCTTCCCTACCAGAAGTCTGAATGTGCTATGCAACGCGAAAAGACCAGATGGTACCTATACTGGCTCCCGGAAGAAACCAGCAAGCTACTGTGAGATACCCACTTCCAAGGCTCAAATCATATGACGAACACTGTGAGCGCCGTGACAAACAGAAGGACAAGAGGCCTGGCTGGAAGAATCTTCAGTATTAAAAAGTCATCGTGGACCATTTTAACTTTTAGGATCATGTAAATTTCCTCGTCCAGATAGCTGCTACAACATAGCACGCGCCTAATAATGGGCCACTAATCAGGTTACTGAGAGTAAGTATCTTACTTACTCCCACACCGTCAATACGAAGTGAAGTCAAAGCGCTCTTTATACCCAAAGTGAAGAAAATCTCGACATAAATCCCAAAGGCGCATAGACCAATTTGGCTCAGCCCCTTTTTAGTAAAAAAAAAAACAGATTAGTATTTTGCATTAGGGATAACTACCTTAAGGATAAGCCTTCATGTGAGAGTCAGCACGCATATCGGGCAGGTAAATCTACTATTAGTTAATGCAATCCACAGCCAAACTCAAGGCATTGAACAGGCATTGCAGTATAAAAATATAGCTTTGTGTGCATACTTGGACATCTGGGATGCTTTTGATAACACGTCTTACGAAGCAATGTCAACTATGATAAGGAAGAAGCCTTCTAACTGGTTGGCTCATGGAACTAGCAGATAGTAAGTAAGCAGTACCTACCACCCGTGGCTGTCCTTAAGGGGGAGTCTTATCGCCTTTACCATGGGTAGTGGTTGTTGATGAACTCCTAGTCATCTGCTTTGTTGGCTGGCATGAGGACAGCATTTGCTCCAGATTTCAAGCTGCGCTCAGATTAATAGAAGACTGGTGTACTGGAAAGGGATAGTCAATATACACACTGAAGCCCACCATTGTCCCATTCACCAATAGAATCAAATTGACTAGTCCCCCTTGGCAGGGACAGAAATTAAGTTCTCAAGAGAGACGCAGTATCTTGGCGTTACTCTGGATAAGCGGTTCAATTGGAGCTCCACTTTTTCGAATGTTATCAGCAAGGCTATAAGGGCGTTTTATGCCTGTCAAAGCTAGATGGTAAAACTTCGGCAATATTACCCAAACTAACGTATCTATTAGTCTTTCAACAGTGTCGTAAGACTCGTTACTACATATGCAGCACTGGTCTAGTGGCCAAAAATTAAGCAAGAAAGCGCGGGTGCCACCTTAAACATACTACAGATTCCCTTGGTGTCAGTACAGACATTCCGCAAGGGTTTGTTCTGATTGTAAAGGAGGCCTGCTGGTGCGCCCTACGGCTGCCCAATGTGGTCGACATAAAAAGTGGGCATCTTCGGGTTCACTGGGAGATTCTGACGACATTCCTGGATGATCCAGCTATCAAGCTCACAGATATTATGATACCGAAATTATCATTCAACAAGCCCTACAAAGTCGGAATTCCTGAAATGGACTACTTTGAAGCGATAGTGTCTAGGATTAGCGAATAGTCCCAAGTATGGTATACCGACGAAAATGTGTTCGAGAATGTTTTCGTATAATAACAAATGGGCGAAAGAGTTATTATGTCGGATAGTCAGACAGCATTAAATGCCTTGGACCCACTTGCCTAAGAATTGATCTGCAACTGTTAAGCTATAAATGTATATATGTTATCACTTCCGAAAAGCTCTTTAAAAAAGCAATAGTCAACTCCGTAAAAGTTCGCCAACTTAAGAGAGGGTGCTGTTATGACTCCTGCCCATCATCGCGGCGCAGATCCGGTGAAATATTTAGTCCTGTCCTATAAAAACATAGAGATTTAGAGCTTTGTAAGCCTAGAAAGATCCCTGGCGCGAGCTCGATCCACCCTAATGCAGGAAAACTTTGCCGTTACCTGAGCTCCGCCCAGCTCTCGCTGAGCTAACTTGAGTTCCAACTGTGGGAGTGTAGTACATAGGTTAGTTAAAGGTACTTCTTTTTCATATCTCAATGAAATCTTCGAACCAGCTTATGCAGCATGCGGTTTTTTGCAATATCATTTTGGCATGGTATCCACAAATATTAATGTAACCAAGAAATAATCACAAATACACGAAAGAGAGGTCAGGCATTTATTGTCTAACTTTGAGAACGGCGAAGAAAAGAGTGTATCTCTCGACCGACCCTTACATCAAGTTCCGACACGTTTGCGAAAAAGTTCAACTCTGCTTGTTTCCAACAACTGACTGCCCTTTAGAGAAGTTGAGAGTAGGAGAAAGCAGCTTGACGACAGTCTAAATGTTAATGATCAATGTTATTTTAGTACCCAGGTCCTTAGTCAATTAAGCACCCAGTATCCTTTAGTCTGTCTGCAGCCCTTGCCACAGCATCCCTAAGTTCGCCACTGATCCCTCCAGCTTTTTGACTGGCGTGATCTTGTCCAGCGCATTACACCATACGTGGACCGCAATCGCATATTATAGGCGACAGTCCATATCTCTTACCAATTTTTGCCTGCACCAAAATTGAGTCTCTGATATTTTCTTTACTCTTTCCTGAATTTAGACTTCCACTACAAATTCCTAACTAAAAGCAAGCCCAAGAAGTTAAGTCGATCTGAGGGAAAAATCGCATGTGCGGTATCTTATATTTCCTATTGAACCAGACGAGTTTACAGGAACCACTTAGTCACTTCATTCAAGTAACCCTCGATCAAGAGTACCGCAGCTACTTTACCGAGCTATCGACGGGTACGAGACATAAAGGAACAATGAGTGAGCTGTCCGAAGTACAGCTTCGTTACAAACGCAGTACTCTCTCGCGTTTTTTCACAAGCCATGTGAAGCCACAATTGTGAAACGTGGGGTAACGTGGCGTCACGTGACATAAATTTCCATCGCTATATTTTTGTTAATATTGCTTTTAAATGAATTTTAACACAAATAAAACATGCATTTTATGTCGAATATACTTTATATTTTGATCTCAGCGCCAATTCAGGGTCACTTTTTTGAGAATCTATGATTTATTATGTTTCAACTACTTACGCCAAATTGGAATCAAATCGGACCATAAAGCCAGTTTTTTTTTAATTTCTCGACCCTGGGGCCACCTACCAAGCCCATTTTACGTAAACATTTTTCTGCTTGCATAACCATATAAACGTTTCATTTTTTCACGGTAGACCTTCCGATGCAAACACCCATATGTACTTAACTATACTTCAAAATACACAATTCCCATAACTCATTCTATTCTCCATCTTCATTTCAGATCGATGACATTCTACTTACACTTAGCTTGAGCGAACACCGCAATACTCTAACACGCAATCTGTCTGGCGGCCAAAAGAAACGTCTCTCCATCGCTCTGGAACTTGTCAGCAATCCACCGATTATGTTCTTCGATGAGCCTACTTCTGGGCTGGACAGCTCCACTTGCTTCCAATGCATACACTTGCTCAAGATGTTGGCCGCTGGCGGACGCACCATCATTTGTACCATCCATCAACCGTCGGCACGTCTCTTCGAAATGTTCGATCAACTGTATACGCTATCCGATGGCCAGTGTGTCTATCAGGGTAGCACCAAGCAGTTGGTGCCATTCCTCTCGACGCTCGGTTTGGAATGCCCCAGTTACCACAATCCGGCGAGTTATGTTATCGAGGTGGCCTGTGGCGAACATGGCGATCACACGCGCAAACTGGTCGATGCCATTGACAATGGCAAGAAGGATATTCGCACTGTTGCTGATTACGAGGGACTAAAACTGCGAAATGATTTGGTAAAAGTACACAATTTAAAGACAATGTTGGATAAGAACGCCATGACGAATACGGCGAGTGGAGGTAAATATGAGGAGAATCTAACGCTCAACAATGGAATTTTAAATGGCAATCTGGTGAATGATATCGTGAAGAATTCGAATGTATCGGCGGCTGCAGCGTCTTCAAGTACTGTTGCAGTGCCAGTCGTGAGCACAAATGAGAAGGGTGATGCGATAGTTGATGTTGAAAAGGCGGATAATTGTACAACGGCACTATTGTCAGAGGAGATTACTTCGCCGGAACGTTATCCCACATCGCAATTCCATCAGTTCTGGGTTGTATTACGGCGTACGTTGCTCTTCAGCTATCGCGATTGGGTGAGTGTACATGCGTGAGATTGCATACTTTTAGGCGTACAATAATGTTTGACGTATTTGTTTCAGACTCTTATGTACTTGCGTTTATTTGCTCATTTGTTGGTTGGCTTTCTTATCGGCGCACTCTACTATCACATTGGCAATGATGGTGCTAAAGTTTTGAGCAATCTGGGTTTCCTGTTCTTCAATATGTTGTTCTTGATGTACACTTCGATGACCATAACGATTCTGTCATGTAAGTATAGCACTATTGTTCGCAAGCCCCAATTTTTCATTCACTTTTAGTTTTAAATGGTTTTAATCTTAAATATCTTTGGCCTAGGAAAAGGAAATTTTTACTTCGATATTAGGATTACAATATTCGTTAGACTCTTTCGACGTACATAGCTAGACCAAGAAGAGAGGTTTTAGCTAAATTTCCTTACGAGGGCAAGTAAAGTGTTGGTTGGTCTCGTGTGCGGCATCTTAACAAGTCTGCTAAAATATTTCAACCTTAATTGTGAGACAGTTACGCGGGTCAGTCCCAGTAGCTAATACCCTTCGCCTGCGCCTTTTTATGAATGTCGTTTGCAGCTTGTTGGTACAACGTTAAGACAAACTCCCTTCAGTGGCTGACCAGTGGAGTTGTAGAAGCTAAACATTAGCGGGGAAAGTGGCGTCCTATTGCGGAACCCTATTATGTCCAATTCATATAGGCTCCGGTGGTTCATCTCAAAAAAATACCAACTGTCGACCCTCAGACAATTCGAAATGGCAAGCGCGGTCTAACAAGTCAAGTTTGACAAGTCTAAATATACCAGGACAGTTTTTTCATAGGGCGGTTACGGCTAAGTCCGCGAGTTAGTTATGGCACAAATATTGTGGTGGTGCGATGCCCTTTACGAAAGCATTGTGGGTGGGGAGCGGGGTTCAGGTTGCACGTGTAGTACGAGAGTAGCAAGGCTTCAAGTGACTTCACAACCAGAGAAAGGAGATTAGGCGATGTATAGGACTCCGCTTTATTGTCTAGAGTCACTCGTTTAGTAGTGGGACCACTCCCAGATTTCAACATGTCAGGACAGGCTGAGGATCTTACTACCGTACTCTAATCCCGGCGAACACAAATGTTTTATCTTCAACATGCATATTCCGTCATGAGCAATGACTTCGGAAGATCTTGTCTTTCCGGGGCCACTTGAACTTCATTGCTAATGAAAATAAGAGGCGCTCTAGGTTCTGTCACTCGACGTTTGCCTCAACACCAAAAAATTCATTGTGAACTGCCGGCTAAAATGTCGCACACATTTATTTAGGCCCGGCGAAGTGTTAACTATTACTGAGTGTGATTTTCATCCTATCCCCGCGCTACGTGGACTTCAAGTGCTCTTTCTGCTTCTTCCGCTTATGCTGATTTACCAGTTTCCGAATCTCTAAATTGGCGGACCACTTTGCGAAGCTCTACGTCTCGATTGGATTGGTGAAAACGGCGATTCGACTGGTGGATTGGGAAAGCAAAGTCACCGGGTCTATCAATTGAAATTATTATGGGAAGATGATCAGCTGTAGGTGACATAGGTTGTCAAGTTATGCTATTTATTACTCTCACGCTAGCTATTGTTAGGTAAACTGAGCTGCTGGAACAACCCCTAATGCAGCAGGTGTAAGGGGTTAGATGTAAGTGTTGAATATTTTGAACTCGACAACGCCTAACCGGATAGCTATGCACTGACAAATGGGTGGTATCCCTGCGGTCGATGTCTAGTGTATACTGTGACGGCCTATTGACACGGTCATCTGTTCGATCTTGCTGAAGAATGCGTTGCAGTTAAATTGTAAGAGTTTCATGTATCTTGGGAGTCTGGCCACTATACTGCAGGCTGGTAATAGGTCCTGTTGTGCATGTCGCTGTTTGTGTTCCTGCCTTGTAGTAGTGGTTGGCTGCATCGATGGTGTCCACGAGGGCGGCTGTCCACCCTGATCATCCTCGAGTTGTGGAAAACGGGTAGGATCATTCGCCTCTTTAAGCACGGAAGAAGGCGTGCGCAGGAGGCTCTTTCCGGCTAGTCTCCCTCCTATCCCCAGTGGAAAAGTCAAAGGAGGCACTATACTCCTCCTTAGCCTAACGAAGCTTCTGAAACTAGTCGAACACCAACATGGATTCCGCAAAGTGCATAGCACGACTACAGCATTAAATGCCATCATAATACAGATTAGCGCGGGTCTGGACCAACGTCGACCCAGTGATAGGACGTTCCTAGTCGCGGTTTGACCTGTGGGAAGCATTCGGCACGATCATCGGTCGAATTCCGAAACGCCAAGTCCAAGCCTCGTAGAATTAAGCAGGGGGTTTCCCGGCGACAATGCTTAATCTCTACATGGCAAAACTCCCTCCGCCGCCAGCTGGAATCAACAGGGTGAGCTACGCCGATGATTGCACGATTATGGCAACGGGACCTAATATCGACAGCCTTGCAGGAAAATCACTGCTAATCTAACCGATCTTTCAAACTTCTTCACTGCCAGGAGGCTCGTCATCTCCGCCGCAAAAGTCGGGGGAGTCTATCTGCTGCTCATGTGAGCTCTTTGAATCCGATTGGGCTCATTGCCCGCTTGCTAGTGCCGGTGAGTTGTACGAGTTGGAGGCCGTGGTGACAGGAGGAAATTAACTTGATCTAAAATGCGGTGCGGAACAACCCCGCCAGCTAGCCTTGCTGTAGGCATCGACCACGTATAATAGCGTTCGTTAATCTAAACAGGGTTACACAGCCGAAATACCACATCTTGGTTGGGGAAAATACGGCCAATTCCTATACTTAAAACCGACTAAAAGTGTGAATAAAATCACTTTGTGCGCATTCAGATCTTTCTTCTTTAAATGTTCGTTATTAGTTTTATTATCAGGAAGTGCTACGCCTTATTTGAATAGTATAAGATAAACCGATGTTAAAGCCTCTAGTTAGACTTAAGAGGCAAATATCGTTCTAAATAATTATCTACAAACCATATATGACATACTTAAGCTTGTCTAGCCAACAAGCCAAATTTATTCCACATCCAAGATTTGGGGTGGTAGGCTCAATCGCTCTTCTATTTCATTAATTTTACATTTTTCTTCTAATCAATTTCATTTTTCCCCCGCAGTCCCTCTTGAGATGCCGGTGTTGCTTAAAGAGAACTTTAATCGTTGGTACTCGCTCAAATCCTACTATCTGGCCATTTCGGTTGCTGATCTTCCCTTTCAAGTAAGTGTTGGGCCTCTGAAAAAATATGTACCCTCCAAAAGGTAAATTCCATCCTTTTTTCTCTTATTTACAGGCAATATTTTGCGTCGTCTACGTAAGCATCGTCTATTATTTCACCTCCCAACCATGGGAACTCTTCCGATATGCAATGTTCTTAGCCGCTTGCTTGATGATCGCATTCGTTGCTCAATCGGTGGGTCTGGTTGTTGGTGCAGCCATGAATGTGCAGAATGGTGTGTTCTTGGCGCCCGTCATGTCTGTGCCATTCCTGCTCTTCTCCGGCTTCTTCGTTTCCTTCGACGCGATACCTATCTATCTGCGCTGGATTACCTACCTGTCGTACATCCGCTATGGTTTCGAGGGCACCGCTTTGGCCACTTATGGTTACAGCCGCGAGAAACTAAAGTGCTTCCAGACCTACTGTCACTTCAAGTCGCCACTTACCACGCTGGAGGAATTGGATATGGTCGATGCTAACTTCACACTCGATATTGTTGCACTGGTCGTTATCTTTGTGGTTTTGCGAATTTCCGCATATCTCTTCTTGCGCTGGAAGCTGAGAACGGCACGATAAGTGTGGAAAAGCGGATTGGATTACGCTTTAAATTATTTTTTTTTTTGTTTTTCTACTATGCCTTTATGATTTCTTGTGCTTAGATCGTTTTTAAGTATTGAGAGTTCTTTGGCTAGATGTTTTTCTATACACACACACACACTATTTTACTAGGTGATAATAACTATATGTATATGTATGTAAACGAAAAGTGATGTATAAATTTTGTTAAGCATAAATTTAGGTTAAATTTACTAGCTGTGTGGAATGTGGGTTAAAAGATTATAATTGACAAAAAAATATATATCTAAATAAGCAACAGCAGACACGCATATTGTGGGGGAGCATAAATTCAAAAAAAAAATAAAATATTTATGCTCACCCAAAGCCAATTTTTACAAAATATTGAAAGCAAAATAATGAACAAATGTTAGGCATAAACAGTGTATAACATATATCATTAGAATAAGCATTGAATACTTTGTATATATATACATGTTTAGAAAATTTATAAATTATAAAATTTTTTTTATCAAATTGCGAATCAGAGCTAAAATCACAAACAAAATGTAACTGCAAATATAAGTAATGTAAACAAAAAAAAAACAAAAACAAAAAACAACAACTTAAATGGCTGCTTTTGTAAGCTTAACGGAATTGCAATTATATGACTTTTTATTGATGTGCTGAATATGTAACTTTTTGGAGACATTTTTTATGTAATTTTTTTAAATATTTACTGTTAACGACAAATACATACATACATACATATATACAACAACAACTTAAAAGGAATACGACATATTAATTCCAAAAAAATAAAAAAATTAAATCAATAATTGGTAGTTCTGCATAAAGTTCTATCTTGAAGAAGAACTGACAGAAAGTAAATCAAAATCTATTGCCAGTTCAGTTTACGAAGTATTCCACTGGGTACTTTTTTATAAATGGTGTTTTTTATTGACATATTTAATCATAAATGTTAAGTGTATTTATAGGAACTAAAAAGCTTTACAAGCAATTTAAAATACATACATACATCTGTGGAATTTTTGTGTAGTCCGAGTATTGTTTAATAAACGAAAATAAATCTATTTTGTGGAAACAAACATAAAGAGAGTCGTTTTTATTTACAAAAATAAAAATCCATCAATAATATGGCCGCTCAAAATAGTGCAGCAAAAGTTCATTTTCAGCGCAGATGCCTGCAAAAATAAGCATAAGTACTATATGAGCAAATCTCACGAGTTGTTTCTTTTTTTTTTGGTGCCACTACCTTGTCTCGCCTGAAAAAAATGCTAAAGCATTCACCTTGCATATATTTCAAGCAATGGAGTTCCAGAAATAAGTAAAATACAAAACATAAATCAAATATTTGAACAATTTTAGCTTTAAAACGTTTATTTAGCCAAAAAAGTACCGAAGTTACTCATTTTCCCATTGTCACTCGAAAAAATCATAATGGTTTTTTTTTTAAATATTTTTGGGAAAGTTTTCAAACAGAATGTTCATATTAGAGGCGACGAAAGTTGGCATTAAATACAGTATATTTGTGAAATTTCCAGAATGTGCCACCAAACTAAACAGAATGGCAGCATGCAGAATATCTGTCCCAGCTATTTTGTAATTTTTGAAATGTAACGAATTTTTCATTTTAAAAGTTTAAGAAACGAAACGACTCAATCAAGAGTAATAAAACTAGTGTGCCACCAAATGGAAAAGAATTACATTGATTATAAGATGACGATTATTTGCGAAAGGAAAATTACAATTTTACAATTTTTATTGGCACACGCGAAATTCATTCTGAAATTTTTATATACATGAAGAAATTAATATATACATATGTACATTAGACTGCATCACCAAAAAAAGTTGCGGGTTTTCCGTCGGGATTGCGAAATTTATTATATCGGTACTGTTTTTCCATTGGAGTTATAAAATCTATTGTAGTTTAAGACGTCCACCAAAATATTTCGGAAAAATATTAAGACGTTCTTTAAGAAAATATTTTTATTCATAAGAAACTCTATTTTAGGAGGTATTTTCAAGTCTGTCCAGCTCCTTAAATCTTAATATTTTTCCGAAATATTTTGGTGGACGTCTTAAACTACAATAGATTTTATAACTCCAATGGAAAAACAGTACCGATTTTTTTTTTGTATGGGGAGTGATGCAGTCTAATGTACATATATTCGTGAATAACGCTGTAGAAAAATACTCTACGCCAATGTTTAATTACTTTTAATCGTGAAGAAATTAATGAAAATCTTAAATTTGTATATGGGAATTGAAGTCGGTTTTGTTCTTTGCTTAAAAATTACTTTTTGCACTACATACATATATCTTTTTTAAATTTTCATTAAAATACAATTTCGCGATGGAATCATGTTCTCTTTTGCAATACTGAAGCTATTGCATTGTTTTAGATAAGTGTGCCAAAATTTTCGACTGATATTGAAGTTGATGGTTGCGGGTGCAATGTTCAATAAACAATTTGCATACAAATAGACTATAAAATGGATTAGATCCATATTTGGCGGCACCATCGAAAAGCATCTTTGTGTAGCGGTTTTATCGCATTGACTACAACTTCAATCTGAGCACACGTGTCCTAAAGCCGGTATAAACCAATCGAAAACTGTTATTTTGAATTATATTATCCACATTCATGCTAGCACCGGCGTTTGCATTAATTTTCTAAAGCTATTCAACTGTAATGCGCCTAAGAGTAGGCAATAACTGCAACATGACAGTAAAATTCTTTGTGCATACAAGATTTGTGTATGTAGAAGTTTTAGACTTCGAGTGAATCAAAATTCCATATTCTACAACAGAAAGCGAAATTACTTGGAAAGATATTTAAGCTGTGTACGCCTTGTTCTGCACGTAAGTCATTGACAGAGATGTTCGACATTGTTTTAACCTGTTCATTTCAAACGCAATAATTTATCTTAAATGCCAGTCGCAATACTTTTTTTTTTAATACTACATATTTACTTATTTATAGGTAGGTACGTATTTACTTATATGTATATTTATAAGCTGTGAGTAGTACTACTGCCCTTAACATTCAATGGCAATTACATAGTACAGTAAAAGCTCACAAATTAGAACTATCAGAATTTAGGCTCTTTCAGTTTTTAAGAACCAAATATTTTGAGCAAGTTCAACGTTGTAGACTGTAAAAAAATAAATAATTTTTCAGCAAGTTTTTTTTTTAATTTTGAATTGTTATTTCTTTTATTCTTGACAATAGTACCTACTTACTTTGATTTGATTAAACACTTGCTTTTTTTTTAGTATACAACTAAATAATTTCGGGATTTTCAGGTCTATTCCGGGTCTTTGGGACTATTTCAGGTTTTCGAGACCATTTCGGGATTTTCAGTACTGCATATATCGAAGTTTTGGACACTACTTTAGGATTATCTGGACTATTTCGAGAACTTCGAGACCATATCGGCATTTTTGAGACTACCTCGGAATTTTTAGGATTTCCGGGATTATCGGAATTTTCGGAACTATTTAGAGATTTTCGGAACTATTTGGAGATTTTCCAGACTGCTTCAGGATTCTCATATTTTTTTTACATTCGGGATTTTCAGAAATAAGATTAGCTGAGCTTAGATGAAGTGAGTTGAGGTGAGGTGAAACGAGGTGGTGAGTCGAGTCGAAAGATGGTGAGTTTAGATGTGGGGAGAGAAGTTCATGTGAGTTGAAGTAAGTTGAGGTAAATTGTGGTGAGGTGAGTTGCGGTGAGGGTAGGTGAGGAGAGGGTAGTTCAGGCGAGTTGAAGTAAGTTGAGGTAAATTGCGGTGAGGTGAGTTGAGGTGAATGTGAAGTAAAGTGGATTGCTTTGAGTTTTCCTAAATCATAAAACATTTGGTTTGTAAGTATTTAGCCACCTACTAAAAACCATAGGAGCTTTCCACAAAAAGGGGAATATTTTCACCGCCAGAATAATTACTTTTCCTGAAGAATTTTTCAACAGCAATGTGTTTTAAGTATAGTTTGTGATGTATATTTTTTTACAACAATAACAAAAATTTATTAAGCGTTGTCAATCACTATCATCTCTGGACATCAACGAAGCCTATACCAGGGGTAATTGAATTTCACGAAATATTAGGGAATCAGTACTTTTAATCAAAAGATATAGGTTCTTTTAAATACCTAATTTTTTTTACTTTAATATTTACCAACTTGTAAATACCCAAATTTTTTTTTAAATTTAATTTATGTACCTTCAAATACTTACTATTTAAGTATTTTGTACCCGAACTGGAACTTTAAATACAAAAGTACTTAAATATGCACATCACTGGTCCTGCTTTCTATTTGCTCTAAAATAAATTTCCTGAAATTAGAGTAGTTATAATTTGTGAGCTTCTACTGTACTTCAATAGGCATCTGCACGAAAGCAGTATTGAATTGCCGGTGCAGGCAATCTTAGTCAACAAATTTCACATGAAGTGGCACGGGTACAAAGTATGAAATGACAACTTGTTACTTTTTAGTTCGAATGCAATTAGAGAGTATAGAGTGACTCAAACTAATAAAGGGCACGCAAGGTCTCTAGCATGGCATTCAATGCATTTGATGCACATAGTACTTGTGTACATGAGTTCATACATATGTACATACATATATTTGTATGAAAAAAAATTTTAACTTTACACATGTTGCAGGTGCAATGACATTTTCTCACATATGTCCTTGTTAAGCGGGGAAAATAGATTTCTCTCTATGGCAATTAAGTACTATGTAGTTTATTATGCCCGCATTTATGCATTATTTATGTAGATTTGAAATACATATCTTTAGAGCTGTGCAGGGCTATGTACTTTAAATTAGTGTGATTTAACTTTATATTCAATTTGCACTTTATTGCAATTATAGCGGCGTGCAAGGCATTATTTTAATTTGTATTTGTAATTGCTTATAATTAGCGTTGTATGAACAGCCCATGACATTGACAGTATTTGATAGAACCATTTCAGTAACCTTAAAAGAAACTAGTTTAATAATTAGCATGTGACTTACTAATTGATCGGAATTAGCAGATAATTAAAGACGATTTGGTTAGGAAATATATTTTTCATATTAGTTGTATATTAGACTGTATCATAAAACAAACGTTTAATTGGTTCCAAGCGGTTGTCAACATTCACTATGAGAATACTGATAATCAGTGATCGGACTTGAAAAAAAATTTGTGTGGTAGAATCTGGAAAAAAATGTGGTAGATTCCAAAAAAATGTGGTAGATCTCAGTTTTGGGTCAAACTTTGTACAAAATTTAAAAAAATTCTGCAAGGTTTCACATAAATTGCAAACATTTTAATTATAATCTAAAAAAACAAATTAGTTTTAGTATAATAAAGTGCACGATTGAAGTTGCTAAAAATTGCGTTGAGTTTTGGCAATTTTTTTTTCCTTGAACGTGTAACGCTGTTCCTTCCATATCAAGATATTTTTCGAACATATTTTGAACAGTTTTTTCTTTTTATCACATCACGATGTAGCGAACAAATGTGGCACGTTCCAGAAACCGCTACTTGGGATTTGTCGATTTAGACAATTTTCAAGTAAAAGTAAACAACGCTTTAGAAACTTTAGATGCACTGAAATTTGCTAATATTTTCACAGAAATCGCCGTTTTTTAACATTTCCGCTGTTAATTATTTTTATAAATCATATATTTTGCAATTTAACACAATACGACCACGTTTTCTGTCGAAAAATTAAATATTGAGAAAATTTAATATTTTACAGTTTATTTTATAATCCCATTCTGCCTGTTGTTAGTGTTTAGTGTTGGACAATTTCTGCTCTTAAACTTAAGAAAACTATGTCGAGCAAAAATTAAACTACTCAAAAATGCGAATATGTGGTAGATTTCAGACCTTGTGTGGTAGATGTGGTAGATGCTCAAAAAAGTGGTAGATCTACCACAATGTGGTAGAAGTCCGGTCACTGCTGATAATGCTTACATCATTTTTGTTAATTTTGTAAAAAAACTAAATATATTTAAAACACGTTTCCGTTGAAAAACTCCTGGGACCGAGAACAAAAGCTATGATCGAAACAAAATGTCGTTCTCGTAG